ATGAAATATTGACTGATAAACAAGTGGAATTCATTGAAGAACTCCGCAAAGAAAATGACATATTGAAACAAATTGTTTCCCTTCTTCAAAATGTATTGGAAAATAGAAAAAAATGATATCGTATTTGTGGCAAATTTCAATTTTATGAAAACAACGTGTTGAAATAGTATCTATAATCATTTAAATTGTTATATAAACGTAAGGGAAACAAACAATTGTAATATTTTCTCTGATAATTTTCTGTTTTTATATTTGAAATAAAAAAAGAAGCATTTAAAAAAAATGATTTATTATAACCGTTTGTTATACTCCCTAAAAGCTACAAAAAAACATGTTTATTGTATATTTTAACGAATAAATGAAAAGGGTATTGTAATAAATATAACAATATATGTAATAGTATTATTTTTTAATACACAACATAAAGATTTGTTAAAACAATACAATCAATATGTTCTTTATGTTTTATACATCGAAAATAAAATATGTTATGTTAATCAAAAACAAGAAACTTAAAATATCGAAACAACAATAACTACAGAAATAATATATTACGAATTATTGTAAAAAGAAATATATTGCATTGTTTCTTTATCTCATATTTGTTAATCTATTGAGCGCACGATTGCAATTATTTGGATTGAAATTATCAGCTAAAAGTCTTGATCCCATGCTCTTACTGCCAAAGGCAGATGTATTATTGGGAGACATACTGCTTAGTTCTGATGCTATCTGACACAATCTCATACTACAGTATCTAGAAATTAAAATATCTTTTACATCATGACAAGTACTAATAACAAATGTAGACAATTGATTTTTCAAGTAGTGTTCTAGTTTTTCTCTCAACGATTTCCCAATATCTTTGAATTTACTCTTTACGTTTCTTATAATAAGTTCTACTGCTTTTAAGAGTTGAAATACTTCATCGGAAACTGAAACAAGAGCTCCCTTCAGGAATTCACAACATATCAAAAAGCCGTTTCTAGGATGCAAAACTGGATTTGAATGTAATAATTTAGAGTAACAATTAATACACTTTATTCGCTGTTTAAGCTTGAACACAACATAGCCACACATTTTGTATAATATTTCTTCTTCTTCATCCGTTAAAGATTTTATTGTATGTGGCTGTGAAAATACATCTGACGTTAAAGTGTCAGTTTCCTTCGGTTTTTTTTTGGTTGACATAAGGTCAATCAATGTTGAAGATCCATCAAAATTATAGCTAGAGTTACTCATTGATATAGCTTTACGTGATAGAGCTAATTGCTTCAGGCGGTTTTTGCATTCCAGAGCAGAAGGCTTTGGCCGCTGTATACGAATATTAGAAAATTCATTCTCAAGACAGTCCTAGCTAAAGCGGGCTAAACATAAGAAATCTAATGATTCTGTTTTAAGTAACTCTTCTTGAATGTTTAATATAGCTTCTAAACACATAATCATATGTGTAAGAGTAACTTTCCATTCTCCTTCAAACGTTGCGTTCGTAAAAATAGAAACAAATAAGCGAATAATTTGTATTGCTTCCTGATAGCAATCCATCTTATGAAAACTTAATGCAAACAATGTGTTACGTGAAGCCATTATTTTGAATAAATGTCTTAACATTATAATGAACCAAGCAGTTGTTTCCATTACAGAATCATTAGTAACCTCACTGAGGCGGTAAAGAGCTCCTGCAGTTTCAGGACTGATAACGTTGGTAGCTGTGGTAACCTTCATTTTATTGAAGTGATTAGGCTTCAAATCTTTCTTCTTCAATTTCGGATTAAATTTTAGATTTATATCGGATTGTTTATCTTCAAGCCACTCTACATATTTCATATCTACCATTCGTGATTGTAAATTATACATATTAACAATATCTTCAGGTAATATAATAACACCAATTTTCATTAACATTTCTTTTAAATTTTTAAACGTATGAATAAAATCTGGAACAGCGTACAAATTTCTTAACGGGTTGAATGGATGAGGAATACTGAACACCATTTTATTTTTCTTGCAGCTGAATCCAAGTTCATTCAAAACGCCACGATTACCCATATCACAAACTAAACAAATTATAATAAAACCATTTTTTTCACATTCTTCTAGTATGTTTAATATTATTTCTTTAATAGTTTTACTGTGTGTTTGTAAAGGCGTGAAGTGGTATGCTACTATCTGCTTCCACCTTTTACATATTCCACTGAGAAGAAAAGCGAGTAATTTAGATGCTACTGAGTGAGTTGTCCGAGGTACACCAGGTAAAGTTACGTATCCAATATAAGAATTAGTATTTCTATCGAAATCTATTCTTTCTTGAATGCTCATCTCATCAAAAACAAGACAACAGAATTTGTGAATGTTATCTAAATTTTTTCCCATTTCTTTCATTAAAAGAAAAATATCTGTCAAAAGTCCTGGTTCAAAAGATATATTTTCTACATTCCGCTGTAAAGTCCTGACAGAAGGAAAAGGAGCAACAACTTCTCTTATATAATTATAACCTGTAGTTCCACAAGTAAAACGTAAGCCTAGTGCTTTTAGAACGGTTTCCTTTGACCATTTGAAACCTTTACTATTTCCAGTTTCTAAAACTTGCAATTGATCGTTAGTAATACTTTGCTTGTACGTTGTACGCTTTCACTTAGTATCTTAATCTGTTGTTTTAATTGACAATTTTCTTCATATATCTTTCTATGCATATCTTTTACATCCATCCTTTCAGTTTTCTTTATGTCTTTTACAGTTTCTTTTATTTTAATTTGCAACTCCTCATTTTCATCTATAATGCTCCTGAGAAAATTCTCATTTTCGTCCACCGGTTGTATCCTGTCATTTTCTTTGCATAGTTCTTCCACTTGTTTATCAGTCAATATTTCAT